CATCCAGACTGGCCAGGTACCCCAGTGGGGACCACCACTTTGAAGCAACAAGATGGCGGCTAATTTGCATACTGAAGGTAGGCGGCAGCAGGCAAGGCTGTCCACGGTCCAGGACCTGGATCTGTGACCCTGCCATGTGGAGGGCAGTGCTTGAGGCTGTCCGCTGTCCTGGGACCCAGATCTGTGACCCTGCCAGGCGGGGAGCAGCGCTTGAGGCTGTCCGCATTCTGGGACCCGGATCTGTGACCCTGCCGGGCGGGCGACAGTGCTTGAGGCTGTCCGTGGGACCAAGACTTGGATCTGTGACCCTGCCAGGCGGGGGCAGTGCTTGAGGCTGTCCGTGGTCCCGGGACCCGGATCCACGACCCTTCCCGGAGGGGCGGCAGCTCACACATGGGAGGATCGGCCGGGGTTGGGCCGGGCAGAACACCTGGCTTCCACCCAGCCCCAGTCACTCTGGGCAGGTGAGCAGTGCAGAGAGCCTCTGGACAGGGGAGGCAAGCCGGCAGAGGGTGGCCTGTACTCCCCACATGGCAGTGGTGACAGCTGTGAGCGCGCTAAGCGGAGCCTGCAGGCTGAGTTGAAGTAGCGCCTGCAGACCATCAGTGCCCAGGAGTGGCTGTGCAAGATCCGCCTCCTGGCCCAGAAGGTGCAGGATTGCAGGGACAGCCACCGTGGCAGGCCAGACTGATGTCCTCCTGGCCGCACCATGGGGGTTTGCGGATCTGCAAAGCCAGAGGCCTCCAGCGTGCACATCCCCCCATGGTGTGCGAACATCCCCCAGCACACTGTTACCCTCCTGAGCCTGCAACAGTTGCAAACCAATGGTTTTAAGTATAAGAAAGAAACAACAATGGCTGGCCAGCGCAGTGGTGGTGCCAGGAGCCTCTCCCACCTCCGTGGCAGCACTAAGAATGTCCAACTAATGGTTTAGACCTGATCCCTTGGGGGCCTAAGCCTTTAGTCGGATATCCCCAAGGGTTCCCTGGCTGCTAGAAGGATGTCTGACTGCAAGCTTAGTCCTGATCCCCTAAGGAGTGGGCCTAAGCCGACAGGTGGACATCCCCCAAGGGGTCCTGGACTGTGAATGGGCGCAGGGTGGGCTGAGGGGCAATCCCCGAGTGCACAAATTTTTGTGCACCGGGCCTCTAGTATAGTAATAACTATGTATGGTGTCAGATGCTGACACCGTGGTGATCACTTTGTGAGGTATATAAATATCTAATCACTATGTTGTACACCTAGAAACTATTTTAATATTGTATGTCAATTATAATTTAAATTTTTTAAAATATTTTTAAAAATAAGATCTTAAATAATAGAATCAAACCATAATCACATGATTTTTACTCCTAGAAAATCACTTGAAATGTGTCTCTCCCTAGTAAATATTTTCCAATCTGTCAAGACAGACTATAGAGTACTATGCATATACAAGTGATTTTTATTGAATCACCCAAGTTATTTTCCAAAGTAAGTAAAAAATAAGTTCACATTTCTTTTCTTTCTTTTTAAATAGCATTTTTTCAATGGTTTTTTTTTTAGAAAGAGAGAGAGGGGGAGAGAGAGAAACGATGAGAGAGAAACATCAATCGGCTGCCTCCTGAACAACACCGCCCACAACTGGGCAAGTGCCCTGATGAAGAATTAAACCAGCAACCTCTAGGTGCACGGGCTGATGCTCAACCAACTGAGCCACACTAGCCAGGGTTAAGCTTCATTTTTCTTTAAAGAAAAAAAGATTATGACTTCAGCCCAGAAATTCTTACAATGAGTGTTGAGTTTAATGTAAATATAAAATTCCCAACAATGTATTTATTTTAGAACTTGCATAATCTAATACAATAATTGTAAGCATGTCTCTGCCATGAGAGTTAGTACTGCCTGATGGTCCTTAGGCCACTTGTAGCATTCGCAGCCTCTGGTACAGTGCCTAGCCCACCAGTAAACAGAACTGAATATAATGGAAGGGGAAAAGTCATTAAAATTAAGATTCAGTAATCAATACTTTGGCTCTCAATTCTGTTTCAATTAATCTATTCATTTAATGTTCTTTTCTGGGGGCCTATGATGTGAATACACTGTTCTAAATGCTCCCGATGAAAAACTGAACAACAGAGGCTTGTGTCCTGCCCCATGGAGCTACGTATTCCCATGGGGAGAGAGGAAATACACAGGCAAGCATGTAAAATTACAGTTGGTGATAAGTGTTAATTTTTGATGCAGTGACAGAGTATGGTGATACACAATAGCCATGTACCTAAAAAATACCAGGAAGGGCAAAGCAAAGAAGCATCCAGAGCAGAAGGAGCAGGCCCAGCTTCCGGGCAGCCTTCCCTG